CAAGGCTTCAAGGGTGCGGCTGTCGTGAGGTCACGCCCATTCAAATGTGGTTTAACTAATCTGCATGAGCGCTTATCTGTGATTATATTATTTTGTTTTGTAATTGTTACAAACGTAATGGCTTTGTTTGACGCTACTACCTTTATGGATCCCGTAACTCAGATATTTTGTCGTCTCAGCGCGTATGTGACCAAACGATTAATTTAGCGAAAGAATTTTTAGTAAAGAATAATTTTCTTTTATTTGTCAATTTTATTAGTATTAAAAACACATTTTACTTTAAAAAACCATAAAGATAAATTTTATCCATATTATGTACAATGTAGGCTTACAATGTAAAATAAACCTACATCATATAAAACTTAGTTTTTTTTTTAAATAGAGCAAATTCTCTACTGGAAACTACAACAAGTATTGATAGTTTAAACAAATAGACACTAAGGCGACGATATATCATTTATAATATTGAGTCATTATGATTAAGCATATAGTATGTTTGTGAACGAAAAATTGCCAACCATTTGTGAGTCTTTGATTGCAGCTGTAGTTAATTGTCAGAAACCGGTCCACTACGTTTTTAAATCTCCAATCATACTTCGGAGCTTATAAAACTTATAAAAGATTGTGATATAAAACAGAAATGCCGTCTTAATAAAACTCAAAACATAAATGTTTTTAAAATTGAGAAATTATTTTAAAGAAGGTAAGTTGGGTAGTTTTAGTTAGTTTTTGGAATATGGAATATTTTTGGTTCCACGCGTTCAGTTAAATATTTTTTTCAGAACAATAATTTAATTAAGCAGAGTATACACTAAATTATCATGTTAGATCATTTTATATATAGGACAAAAGTTAATTCTTGTAGATATCCTATTAAGTTAAGATTAAAGTAAAAGAAAAAGTTAGTGATAACTGTTATTGCTAAAATTTGGATGTTTTACACCTGTACTTATGGTTAGTTAGCTACTACTAAAGATAATTCGTAGAGAAATACTCTACGAATTGGGCGTTTTAACAAAACGAAACATCACCTTGAGTAATCATTTATAGAAATTGCTATAGGGATTTGGGTGTCTAATAACAATGAAGAAATTTGACACTTATAATAAAATATTTTTACTATAACGTGGGCTAAGCATATATAGGTTAGGTTGCCTTATTAGGCTTTAAGGTTCTGCAGACTTGGCCAATTAAAATTACATACATACTTACATACATACAGGAAATTTCAAATTGTGTCATAGTCATAGTATATCATCTCATTTCTATATCGATTATAGTTATCTATACATAAATATTGATTGTAGAAAATCAACTTGTCTTAAGTCTAGTTACAACTATTTTACTGTTCTACAGATGTTAAAGAAAACGTCGATGATTCTAATATAAGATAATCAAAATCAAGAACACTAGCAGTACCATATATTTTAATATACATCATGAGTAACCTTTACTATACCTATCGTAAAATATAATATAGGCAAAAATTTTTTATATACTATCAATAAATGAAGCAATATTACTTAGAGGGATGAAGAAATCTTAAGAGAAAGTAGCAACTAGTAGGCGGTACAAATAGACGTCAATTTTAATTGGGTGTTAGTTCCAAACTAATGAGTTTTGAGTTCAATCGGCGCTTTTAAAAAGCTTAATTATGTTTATTCGAAGTCATTAAGTGAACCAGTTCGATTAATCGCTCCGAAGTTCATAGGAAGCTGTTATTGTCGGATCAATAAAAATATAGTTTATCATTTCGATGTTTGAAAACTTTAAGCGGAAATTGTGATATTAATCTAAATATCTAAATAAGCGATGAGAATCGATTGCGATGGAATTACTTTTTATATTATTATTAACAAAGTGGGTCAAATCATATTTCGTTTCAGCTCGTCACTTGAAGAAAACTTTTAAAAACCTACACTGTTTTATTTTTTTACAAATAAAATAGATTAGATGTTATTTTCTTGATTAGATTTGAAAGAAAATTTATCTTGCTAGTACATCTTTATATATATAATTCTTCTGTGAGTGTGTATGTCACTGAACTTCTCTCAAACGACTGGACCGATTTTGATGAAATTTTTTGTGTGTGTTCAAGGGGATCTGGGAATGGTTTAGATTCACAATTTGAATAATAATTTTCATCAAAAAATTATTAAAAAAAGTTTGAAATTTTCAAATTAAAGACGTGTAGACAGGACAACGTCTGTCTGGTCCGCTAGTTTTTTATATATCGAGGATATGTAGACCTAATCTTAAATTCTTAGAAAAATCTTAAAGAATATATATTATTATTTAAAAAAAAATATATTATTTCTAAAAATCATCAATGGTCAAGACTGCGTAACATACGCACAAAAAAACATAACTCATATCTAGAGTACGATAAAATGAAACTTATTTGTAATAACTTCTTAAATATTAATTTGCAAAATGCTTTTGCACGGAATAATTTATATATTACTACAATAAAACTACAATAAATATCTAAAAAGATATTTTTAGGTTTCATATAAACTTTCATCCCCTATTATACCCCCTTATGGGATGAATTTCGAAAAATACTAAAACACGTATTTATTTAATTTTATTGAAGAGCATTAATACCAAATTTCAAGTAATTCTGATCATACAATATAAAGAATATAGTATAGTAATCACACTTAATTTAATTTAATAATATGAAGGGATTACAACTTCTTTCCGTTCGCAACATAACATTTTCGAAACGTCGTTACTGATGCAGAACAAATTAAAGTGGAACTCAATTACGCACAGTGAGTCTGCAGTCGGTCACAATCGATTAGAAGAAAAAGAAATGATCACGACGATGCCAGGTGGTTAGACAGGAAACGGCAGGACCCGCCACTGCGCGTCGAATCAAGCATGTCAATGTTAATTAATCGTTTAAGAAGCTTAAAGAAAATTTTATGCTACTTAATCACCTAATGCGATCATCTTAAAGCGACGAAGGCATTTTTGATAAAAAACAGGTCTGAAGAACTGAAATCTGATTGAAATTATCTATCATTTATAATTGCTTTAATAAGACTAAAACAAAAAAATAAGAACCAAGTAGGTTTTTAACCAAACGCTAAAACTAAAATAAAACTGAACGGGGGTTTTCATCTACTAAAGATACAAGTCGGTGTCGATGTTGTGTAATTTATATTCTTCATTTAGAGCTTTTGTTTCAGAATTTTCATATACGTGTTTTCAGTGGAGACTTTGATATTATCCTTACATCATTTTAACCTTAAAAGGCAATTTTTTATGCCCTTAAACTTTTTTTTACGTTAAAAAGTTGCCATAAATCCCTCGATTTTTCATGTAAAAAAAATACTATCTATGAAAATCAGTCAGTTTTATTTTGTATTTTTTTTAATTTTCCTGTCTTTAATTATGCATGCGGTGTTTATCATTGTAAGTTGTATATTGTAAAACAACATCGAATATTTGTGTATGTACATATAACAACTTAGATAAACTAAATAAATAAATACATAAATTTAAAACAAATCCAACAAAAACTTTTATCGATCTATTAGATAATAATTATTCAATGATTACGTAGCATGTGTTATTTTATATGAATACAAAGCTTTATAATATCAACACGTCTGTCAGGACATTAACCTAACATTCCATGAATGTTAAACATGGCTGAGTAAGTTGTAGACATCTCACTGCGATTTGCGATTCAGGTCTACAAGATGTATAGGTACTTCTATACATAACATCTTTTGTTTTTTTTTTAATCTTGTGAATGGGAAAAATATTTGAATTTATTTTTAGCTGAATGGTGAATAAGTTATTTAATTTTCATAGTTGATTATTTTGTGTATTTTTAAAGTGTATTCTCTACACTAGTAATATAAAGTTAAAAGATTAGAACTAACAGTCAGATTAAAAAATATATCTTATTGCAACTTATAGAGCATTTACGGAGGAATGTAAATACCTATCCAAAATCACTATGAATCTAAAGGTGGAACAATTATATATAAATAAACTATGCGAGCAGAATGCTGGTTTGTTATCATAAAAAACCTTAAATATCTATATACTGAAATACAAATGAGATGTTGTTCATTGTTACTAGAACTTGAGAGATTGATTGATTATTTTTTAATGTAATAAAATACAATCTATAAGCTTTTTAAGGAAAAATTGACCGAAAAATTGAGAATATTGGAAAAACTTAAAGTGCTTTCTTTATGGAAATGTTATATAAGCTTAAAGATTTCAAGTAAATTTATTTAAATTTACACAGAATAATATCTGACGGTAAAGAAAATCTTAAAAAATTATACCTTGATATATTTTTTTCAATTTATTTTTAACTTATCGTCTATCTGCTATAACTTTGTAGTAAATTAATTGTACAAATGTCCATAATGAGACTCGCTTTCAATACAAATAACAATTAATATAATAATATTCGGATGTAAATAACACTATAAAATATAATATTATAATCGTTTATTTAATAAACAACCTCCAACAATGTCATAACAGTTCTTTCTGACTGGAAGAATTTTAAATACATATTTATTAGTAGATCTATAAACTTAACTTAAAATTTAAATACTATCTAATATCACAGATAATATTTTATAAGGCATAACACTATACAAAACAAACTAGACGTTGAGATTGCGTTTAGTAAAATTAGTTTTTAAACGATAGTATTAATACATAGCTTCTTTATTTACGAACAGCTATATTCTCATCAAAATTGATCTAGGAAACTAAAACATGTAGAATGTAATTTCACATCAATAAAGTTTTATGTATGTTACACGTATGTACACAATGTAAAGATTGTTAAAATAATATCACAATCTAAATCATTTACAACATAACTATTAGACTCCTACGTATTTTCAACTATAAACTAATAAAAAAAAATCATAAATACATACTCATTTTATAGGAATGTAAAAATAAAATGTAGACTATAAAATCTATTACAAAAAAATTAACACTCTTCAAAACTACCTCGGACAGAATTTGAAATGAGGAAAGAGGAAACAATGCAGCGAAAGGAACCTGAAACAAATAGAAAAATACAATATTCCTATCCTTAATTTTTATTTAAACACTTTATTGCACACAAAAATAAAAATGATACATACAAAAAAAATCATTTAAAGAAATGTGCAAAGGCGGCCTTATCACTAAAAGTGATCTCTTACAGGCAACCGCTAGAAGTAGGATACAAGTTAACAGAAAGCGGAAAGGTGCATAAAGTGTACTCAATAGACGTATTACATATTATAAACATACATAAAAATACATATATAAAATACTATTTATACAATAAATATTTATTGTTTAAATACTTAAACATACATATACATAACAATATAATAAAATAATAATTTTGCATTACGTAATCATGAAAGTATATAATTAATATGTATTTCCAAAACAGGAGGAAAAAATAATCAATATTTTAGTTCAATAGTAATATATTTTGCTTTTTAAATGGTATAAATTTTAATGCTTATATTAGAATTACTAATGATTGTGTCGTCAACAGCAAAATGGTTTAATAAAACTTACCTAGTTGGATCATATCTGATATCGAATCCGGGAACGTTTATAACGTTCCAACCGTTCTTTGAGTGGGAGTAACTGAAGGATATTTGGTCACGGAAAGTTTCCGGTACCAAGAGTTTCATTTGCTCCAAGTGAGAATGAAATTCTGGCAGCCGAGTTAAATTTGTCTCCATAATATGCTCTGAAACAAAGTTATATATTTATCTTCTCACTTCATTTAAGTTTATTATCTGCAGAACTGTAGATTTAATAACTATTACAAAATAAGATACTAATTTAAATTCTTGACTTAATAAAATATTTTATTCGTCGATATATTTAAATCCGAGTATTAGAGTACAATTTATGGACGAAATATTTTAGACAATTGGGAACTTAAGACTTGTAAAGCAATTACTAAGGCAAAAAGCTGATAATAATAATATGTTGTCATACATAAAATTATATTATAAAGTATTAAAACAAAGATTACAAACCTATAATGTAACCAATTGTTACATCATCTGGTAGTCGAATACCTTCACAGATGCTTATAAATCTGCCACCACTAAAAACAAAGTTAATAATTACTTGTTTGATCTTACAGTTTGAATTTTTAAATCTAAGCGGGATAAATTAAATTGTCTTACCTTGCCACTGGCAACATTTTTAAAGCTAAACTTTGGCTTATGCAAAATCCAGCGCCACCAGTCGCGAACCAGAATGAATATAATAACTGAAACAAATGAATTCATTTAATTTCGTTGCACTAACATTAAAATATAAACAATTTTTCCCGAATATTTTATATTTACCTTACTAATAAACTTTCTATATATTTTTACGGGTTCATAGACAGACGTTCTTCCGAGATACCAATCGTCTTGGTGATTATATGCCTGTAGGACGCTGACCAGCCGAGGTATGTTGACGTAGTTATCATCGTCGAAGTGACAGAACCATCTGCCAAAATAAAAATATTAAAAATTTGCTTTTAAGAAAATCAAGTATCTAATTTAACCGTGAAATGATAAATCCGTAACAAAATGACCCAAAATTATTGGTTTGCACTTTACGCTTATTATTTTAGCAAAGTGCAAGACACAAAAAAAATCTATCAAACGACTCCATCATATGCGTACAAGATGGCATTAATGAAAATGACATAATTGTGTCTTTACGGTCAACATAAATAATTTCTTCAAGAGCTTCAGGTACGTCATTTAAAGGTAAAATTGGCCGTGCGGTATAATTTGCTGATATTACGTTTTGAGCAAATAATAGCTGCGCCCGCGCAATCTGAGACCGTATATTGCAAGATGGCGTACGACAAATGGTTGCATACAAAGTCATAACATGGATCCAATTTCTGCATATCGAGTTTAGCGGTTAACCTTGGTATCTTGTTGGGGTTTATTAAAAATAATAGTGTCTAACCAATGTTTCATAAATATATATGCCGCGCAATAAATATTCAGAAAAAGTATCGATATTCCAAATAGCTGTAGTATTTGGTCACTCGAAAAAATAAAAAGTTTGTGTTTTAGTACGGAATTAAAGTTATAATAATGAGCGGCACGATTATTCTAACAAAGAGGTGCATGTAGTCGCGGTCGTAAATATCCTATGGGATTAATGCTGGAGTCACTCCATGCGAGTTCCAAACCTCCACGTATATCGGTACTTCTCGTAAAGTGTAACTAGAAACGTAGAGAATTTAGAAGAGTCTTTGACCGTACCGCTTGCGATACGATCGAATTCTGAACTAAAGAAATTATACAGGTAAGTTAGGTAAGATAGTTAGGTAGTACAGTAAGGTTTTTAATAGGTGCATCGGGGTCAAAGTCACCATGAAAGTGGTTATTGCATTTTTATTCGTGGCATTTTACTTGAAATTCCTATGAATTTATTGCTAATTCATTAATAAAATAATCATGAATGTGGTTCATTGGCGAGGATATCACGTAACTACACAAAAAATGATGCATCCGAAATATTAATCATAAAAAACTCTGTATCGTATCGGTACAATATATTGTTTATTAGTTGTACAAATAAATAATGTTAGTGAGTTCGGACGTAGGGACATTGTCCGAAAATACAAATTAGATTTTGAAAAGTATTGCACTACCAGGTACTATTTAAATATTAAGTAAAATAGTCTTTCTTAGTTTTAAACTTAGCAATAATAAATTTGTACTATGAAATCGGAAGTAAAATACGCAGTTTTGTATAACGAGTGAAATTAATAAAACCAAAAAGTTTTAACACGATTTCTCTTACAATTTAGAAAGCATCATCATTTTACTTTGTAATATACGATTAAAGCTAATGTGTAACCATAGAATATACACATATAGATAACAATAAGGTTATTAGCAGGTTTGTAAGCATTATAGCGTTGTATAGAAGCCACATCTAGAATATATTTTATATGAATGTGTTCCATTATCTCATTATACAAGTCAGGATATCCACCTGAGGCCAATAAAGAGAACGCGCCAATCCCGCTTAGGATACAATTTAAACGCAACTTTTACAATACATTTTTATGTGCGTTTATAATGTGATTTATTTCTTTTTTGTGAGAATTTTAGACAGCCCTCCTCATGGAATGAAAATTCGACAGAATTATATATAATTTTTTTGTTACTAAACAAATTATAAAGTAACTTCTAATTTCTTAGGGTCCTACTTATAAAATCAATTTTTATTGAATAGAAACTTTCATAAAAAGCTTTAGCCGGCTCCTTTTATTCTATATCAGGTTTTTATTTTGTTTTCATGATAACAATTATTTTAACGCATTTATATCTCAAAGAACGTGAAATTATAACCTTAATTTTTAAAATCAAAATAATTAAAATAAAACAAAAGCTCATAAAAAGGCACGGACAAAAGTCTGTGGCGTTTGCGTACTCACCCATAAACAACACATAAAAGGTAAAAAATATATCGTTAGAAATTTTTTACATCTACTTAATGCCTTTAGAGTTAGTTTTTGCCTTAAAGTTTTAAATCTCTGTATTCTATAAAAAATCCATCAGGATCATATTTGATTTAGCGCAGTATTTTCGCAATTTAACCGACTTCATAAAGGAGGAGACTTAAAATATCTTTACCTATTATTGTTGGTTTTAATTACTCCAAATATAATAAAAACTTAAAAAAAAAGAAACCGACTTCCAGGCACTAAAATGTAAAAAATAACTAAACGGGGGTTTTCATTTAGAATAGATACCTAATCAGATATTTTCGAAGTCGGTATCCTCCTTTTTGGAAGTCGGTTAAAAAAAAGCTTCGAAGCATATATGTATTAAGAAAAAACACTGCGTTATGGAATTACTACGTTTAAAATTGTGAATTCGGTGTAACTTTGGAATTGAAACTTATCATGATTAACATCGTATTATGTACAATGTACATAATATCGCTGTCCCCGAAGAGTAAAAAGATTACTGATATTACCATAGTTTTAGGGTTAGCTTACATTAGACAGTGATACCACGTATATAAACATATTAACAAGAATAGAATGCCAAATGATATTGTTTTACGTTAATTTAGTCTGTATTATTCGTTATATATTATTGTAAAACAGTAATGCAATACTCACAATCTTTTAAAAGTAACGAGAATAAAATGCTAAGTGTTATTAGTAAATAAAACCAACAACAGAATTTTAGTAACTGTTTAAATTCTAAATATCTTCAGTTCGGATAACCTTAGTATAACGTATCACTGAGCTTTTTTTAATCTCTCTACATTTATTGCTTAAAAAGTTAAAGTCAAAAATGGGTTTTTTTACTTTTCCTGAATAATGTTGCTTTTGCAGTTATCATTTTATTCTCCGGGGGCGGCGATATGTTACTTGTTTTGTGAATAAGATGAAAAAATAGTAGCTGAATGGTAAATGAATGATGTAAATTGTTAAGTACATACATAATCGTAATATATCGTACAATTTGATAACATTTTCATACATATTTTATTGCTAATAATAATACATTTTAATAACAAGAATTTAATAAGCATGAATAAATAATATGGTTAAGTTTCTATGAAGAAAATTACTTTATTGTTAAACAGCGAAACTGTCAATGCAGAAAATAAACAACCTTATCGTAATGCGATATGGACTATAATGCCTTAATACATTTCACCGTTAGTCTTAATTTTATTATGTTCGCTTAAAAGCATTTAATTCGAAATAGCAAATTGGCAATTAATTGAATGATCCTGCATTTTTATTATTTTATAACTTATAATTCGAAAGGGGAAAATATAATTAAACTAAATCGACAGTAATTATAAATAATATACCTACTTTTATTTATAAAAGAGACAATATATCTTATACTAGTGATTCCATCCGGATTTACTCGTACTTAAAAAGCTTAATTTAAAAAAAAACTTATATTATTTATGGTAGGCCGGCTTTAGAAGTTCTCCAAAGCACAAGTATATATACATAATATGTATATAATACCGCCAATTAAGCAGTGCTAGGCAAGTGGTAACGCGCTTGCTTGGGAAACCAAGTGAAGCGGGTTCAAATTCCGGATCTCGCACGTCTGATATTTTCATGTGCGAATCAGTTCTATCATCATTATCAGTTGCCTTACGGTGATGGAATCATCGTGAGGAAACCTGCATGTCTGAGAGAACCTAGGAAGTTTTCGAAAGACATGTGAATTTCGGGTTGTTATTGAGAATTTCTGTGCATAAAAATCCAATAACTACTCTTAAATGGAACCGGATCTCGAACCCAGGACTTCAGGTTCTGCAGTCAAAAACATAGTGTCTACAGACCAAAGAGGCTGTCACGTAAACTATTAAAATATTTGCAAGAACCTAGAACAGTATGTGTCAACTTCAACTTGTAAGTAGACACAGAATAGGAATTTACGTATATATTTAACGTACATATATTCTTGTAAATGAAAACAGAAGCGAGAAAACTTTCATATTCCATTAAGTTTTCGATATGGGTGTTGTGACACATTATGTCCTGTTATATTATATCTGATGTTTGACTACGCCGGAAGCCGTGGGTTTGATTTTCTTATGGGGTCAATTTTTAGGAGGCTCAGCTATGGGCGACGTTGGGTGGTATTGTATATTCTAGCATCGATCTCGGCAATGACAAGGGCTCGACAGCCGGAGAAGGAAAAAAAATGTAAAACATTTTCCACTGAACTGAGATGTATCGCACTTTTCTTGCATGAGGTAGTAGCAAAGCATATTCAGAAAGAGACAAAAGGCATATCACATAATAAGAAGTGAAAAAAAATATATAATACCTAATACAAATGTGGGAAGTAAAAAACTTTCTACAGTCATTTTACTTATAATATCACTTAAAACAAATACATGAAAAGAAAACGAAGCCGAAGTAAACCTAACAAAAACATTGTTAGGTTTATGTTTACGCGTAAAAATTATTGTGAGCCCAAAATAATATTAGGCGAGCTCTCAAAAAACCATTAACTGTGTGTTTATTTAAACCTGGAGGTCTCAGATTAAAGGGCCCACAGCTTCAATAGTAGTGAGAAGCCATTGCCTTTGATAACTAAGTAAATTTAACAGGTTGTTGTATGGAATCATTATGAGGCGTTTAAGAAACTGAAGTATCATTTGAACGCTATTTAGCTATACATACATAATTTATTCCCACTTTGTATAAGATAATTATAATAAAAAAGCACATATGACATGGCTTTCATGTTTAGCGGTTAGGAACTTAACTTTTTAAAAGGAAATCGTGACAGTGATTACGGTCGTCAGCGACCGTATATTAACACCGCACATATTACTCAACCAATACCAATACAGGATCATGTATGATGGCGACCATAATGGTGTGACCATGATGACCATCATATAATATATAGTACATATCTATCCGCTGAGACCACTGCAATAGTAACTACAAACAAGCAATTGAGAAAAAGGATGAAAAAGAATATTAATTTGTGATTCATTAAGAATTGATTAAAAAAATACTTAGATTAAAAATATAATTTTAAGAACCTACAGTTTAAACTTTTTACTTTCATGTCGACTGTCCAATTTAAGGTATTTTTGTACTTTTTGCTATTATTATTTGCTATTTGCCTGGCTTTTCCGAATATTTACTTTTAAACTATTGAATATATGTATCCCTTTCCATCTGAGCGAACGCAAGGTATTTAACTAGGTAGGGAAGTGCATCAATGAGACAGGTAATATTCATCATATTTCATTCTTATGTAGGTATGTACGTGTACACAGCGGTCGATAGCTTCATCAAACAATGGTTCGTATTCATTATTTATCCAGAGAAGCTTCTAAAAACAGTAGTTAAGAGCGTTTTGTTTTTACTAATAACAAAAATGAATACAACTCCAGTTAAAACTGGCGGCTTTTCGGAATACATTAATGAATTAGTTTGCTTTCAGAAATATTTAAGTAAATATTTTATAGAGGCTTTTAAATGTTCCATGTTTTTTGTTTGTTAACTTTGAGCAAATGTTAATTTATTGGGTCGTTAATGAACATATGTATTGTGTATTTTAACAAATTATTTGATGATGAGACAGAACAAAATGTAAATTAGCAGTATGGTAAACGAAACGGTATTTTTTCAAGATTAAATAATTATTATGAATATAAAGTTATTTTGTTATCGGAATCTTAATAATATTATAAATGTGAAAGTTTAGATGTTTGGATGGATGTTTGTTACTTAATCACGCTAGAACGGCTGAACGGATCTGGAAGAAATTTGGCAGAGATAAATTATAATCTGAAATAGCATATAGGCTACTTTTTATCCCGGAAAAATGTACTGTTCCCATGGGATAGATTTGTTTTGTTTTTGTAGAGGCGTACCTGAGCGAAGTGAGGGTGAACCGCTAGTTTTATTATAAATGTAAAAGTTTGTATGTATGTGCATGCTTGTTGCTTCTTCACGTTTATATGACAAAAGTCTGGAGTGATTTTGATGAAATTTAGTGGTAGGAACCTGCAGTAAAACAACAACCGAGAGAAGTGAAGATTAGCCGCAAGTACCTACATACATACTTGTTTTTATAGTATATCTACTATATTATTTAATATTGACAGAGAAGCTTTTTGAAATGGAAATTTTCAGTGCTTATTCTAACCTTTTTGGAGTAAGTTACTGCGGAATATACATATAATTAAATGGAATAAATTGACTCTATTGAAAAACAATTAATTACTGAACTTAAATAGGACAGAATTTCACTTGCTACAGAAAATACCTATACATTTTTCGGGCTTTTTTCAACTTATCTTAAAATAGTATTTTACTCGTAACTTCCAAGTTAACTTTGAATCATTAAGACTACCATTTCGTATTGTGTTAAGTGTATTGTTAGTAAGCTATTTTATAATTAACATTGATTAATTACTCTCATCATATAATGACATAAACAAAAACTTTAATTGCTTTTTAATGTTCTATACATTTGTTAGGTACTGCTTAAATGAATGAAAGACGAACTTGCTTATATACAAAACAAGCAACTCACCCTCACTATACTCGGGTTCGTCTCTAGTGAAAAAAAAACAAATCTTTCCCACGGGAACCGTACATTTTTCCGGGATAAAAAGTAACCTATGTGCTATACCAGACTGTAATCTATCTCTGTGCTAAATATATATTCTGTAACAAACATCCATCCATCTAAACTTTCGCATTTATAATATATATAAGGGTATATATTTATTAGGGTTTAGGACTAATCTCAGAAAAAATAATTAAATACAGATAATTAGTAGGCATTTAGTATTTAAAAATAATATAAGATTATTATCTGTAAAATTATTTAGCTATAGATTTTGTGGAAATATAAGAAAAACATTAATTAAAAATTAAGTTAATAAAAGTTATTTTTTACATCGTACGTCCTCACAAAAACCTATACTTTGTTTACGCGAAACTACAAACTTTGAAAATGAGATTATTTTACCTAAATAATATAAATAAATATAATTTTTGGTTATCATCTGATTACATGTGTTTAAATCTAAATTAGTGGCAATTTCAGTACTGTGTAGCTTATTATTATGCATGTTGGTATACTTACTTTTTACCGCTCTCCAGAAAGTGGTCATATTCCACGGACATTTTACAGCAGAGGTGTTTGCGCTGATGCGACGATGAGCACTTCGTGTTTACCATGTGGCCGTCTGGTAACAGACACGGATAATTTACAACTTTGTCACGATTACATAAAGTTCATTTTTCGTTGTAGATATGATTATGAAGAATCGGGCTCAATTGCTACTGCTTTGAATCGAGATTTGAAATTTTCAAAGTTTGACGGCACCAAACACTCACATACACGTCCCGTTCACTTAAATATGGCTGGTGCTTTAAAACTTTTTAAAAATAATCTTTATTTCGCTGCTATGCAGATAGCGAAGAAAAATAAAGCTAAAAACAAAGTTGTTTACGAACCGTGGCACAAATAGCTCGGAAAACTTAATAATATATTTACTTGAATATGATAAATAGGCGAGGCGTTGTGACCTTTTCGAGTATAATAGGAATAGCTAACTATACCACGGGTCATGGGTTCAATTTTGAGTCGAAATTTTGTCTTAATTATTAGACATTTTAAGGGCTTGGGTAATCAAAACACTAATATATTTTCAGTCATTTAATATAAGAGATGAAAGGAGATTAAAATGTAAATATAGTAAGCATCTAATGTCGATATTATGTAATAAAAATTAAAATTTTATATAATGCATTTCTAAAATATGTAGTAAATGTTGAATAAATACTTACTTGTTTGGTTCTGCAGTTGCTCATTCTCTATATCAGTGAAGAACCAAGTCTGGAACAAAAGAAGAATAATAATTTATTTGCAAATCTTATGAAATTTTAACTTACTACTAACAAATTATATTATACTTAAGCAGTAAGCACATATACTACGCGTGTAACTAACACTGCATATACGGTAAAACCTACATACATAAATGGCCACAAAAATACGTTTATCTATAGGTATAGATATCTGTCTAGTTAAGAAAAATGGTGGATTGAGATTATGTTGTCTGTATATTGATGGAAAAACCTCTCCTACAGCTCCTATTTCGTTACGTTCTAGACAATCCCATGAGAGAAATGAATATATAAGAAACTTTTATAATTACATGCGTTTAATAAGTTCAAAGTTTAAAATTTCAGTATAATCTAAATCGTTTTTCCAATTTTATGTAATGTTATTATCAATAATCATGTACTTGAAAATTTAATTAGGTACTTTAAAAATACAATTATTAAAAAAAAACTAATATAATTATAAGAAACACTTACGTTTATACTTATTTAAACGAATCTAGGTTGAGAGTCTAGCATTGTATTTAATAGAATAGAAACTTAAACAAATATTTTTTTCGAAGAATTCGATAGTAGAGAAGTATCATTGACATTGAGTTTAATAAATTTAATACTTCAGAATTCACAAATTAATTTTATATTTTATGTCACGAATATCATGATGAAATGAAGAAAGGTTTATTAATTATACCTACTTTTATCTTGACACAAAATAATTAGAATTTTAAAGTAAAACTAAGTAGTTTTAAGTAAACAAATACCACCTACTCACTACGTAATATATGATTCAAACATGACCTAATACATATAAAAATGACACGAATTTATTATAATTCTAAATAGCATTACCTAATCTTTTATTTTCCTATTAATATTATAAATGCGAAAGTTTGTGAGGATGTATAAATGTATGGCTATTTGTTACTCTTTCGCGCAAAAACTACTGAATACATTTTAATGAAACTTTACAATAATATAGCTCATACATCAGAATAACACATACGCTACTTTTTATACCGGAAAAATGTACGGTTCCGGTGGGATAGATTTGTTTTTGTATTCTTCAGTGAGTTCGTTTGTATCTTATAAATCTTTTATTTGAGGAATGAAAAAAAAACATTCCCATACATTTTGTAAGAACAATTTGGGAAAATAGCAACGTTAACCCTGATTATTTACCATTGTGATGTAAACAATAGAACGATTAAGTGTACAGCCAATAGAATTATTTGTCTAGCAATTTTAATATGTGCAATGTGTATGCTGTTTTACATTGGCAACGACAGTGACAAGCGGATGATGCGTTTTTATTAGCACATGGTTATTACTTTTCATGTGCATGCATGTACGTTCTGGAATTTATTATTATTTTAAAATGAAAAATTTGCTATAAATAGTCTCAGTAAACGTGCTTAGTATATTTTAATAAATGTGTTAATTTCATGGAGATGATATTAATAAATGATGAATGATTACCATCATTACATATTATAAAACACAGTCTTACCTTCGCGTCTGTCTGTCTGTCTGAACGCGATAAACTCAAACACTGCGAACTACACTTAGTATAAACTACGAACGGATTCATATGGTTTTCAAATAAATAACACAAGAAAGATAAATAAGCAGCAATATATGAAACTGCAACGTTAGAGTTAGGTACTAAAGTATAAACAATGTTATGGAACTTTCTACTAATGATAAAGTTAATATTAGCCAAGTTTATCTTTGAGATAACGCTCACTTGGAATGCATTGGCATAACAAAGTATAAACAAAGTTCTCAGTTCCTAGAACTCTGAACTTTAAATAAAGAATTCAAAATGTTGTGACGACACAAAATATGATATGCTGAAAATGAATATTTTAAATAGAATAATGGCTTTAGGCGAGATAAAAATGATTATATTTTCTATTGAAAATAAAATGTGAAACCCATATTTTGATAGCAGAAATTAGTAAATCTGAATAAAATATAACTTATATGTATATTATAAAAGGACAAAAACCAAATTCGTGCTCAATTCGTAATAAATTTTTCCCATATTACCCCAATCTCAACTCCCTTCTCAAATCTTTCCATAAATCTAAAGTGATAAGCTCAGCTTTATGTAAAAAGGGTGAAAGCAAGGTAATAGTCTGGTCACGTGGCATGCGCACGCTCGTGCCACGCGCTGCGCAAGCGCAGGGTCCATGTACAATAGTTATTTATGTTGGTCCTTCGAGCTGGATTAACGGATGATTATGCACGCTCCAGATTCAGAAAACGAGCTAAACGAGCCGCTCACGTTTGACCCCAGTGAGTTGTCTATTGTTAAATTCTAGACTACTATAGTCTATATTGAATAAGTTCAATCGTGGTTAAAGCCTATGGTATCCTTGGTATTTAAAAATAATAATGTATCTGTATTCTGTAATATTATGTAGCCATTTAAACAATATTTTCGTTAAAGTTCTAAGAAAAGAGTCCAGTTTTAATTCTTATCACGCAATGATGCCCAACAACAACACATCTTGTGTGACAAGTTTAGTGCCTGTACAGCTTGTAAAATTTAGATATCAGGTTTGTAAACGACATTTTGGCAGATGTTTGTCTTAAATGTTTTGGATGCTGGACGAAAAAATCACTGATGAAGAGATAAAGGTAAAATTAAGGTGTTCTCTGTAAAGGCAAGTGATATTGACCTTTTAAGTTGAATTCGTGAACAGAAAGAGCTACTCCAGTGAACGGCTCTTGTATTTTATTTATGTTTTTATATGAATAAATTATAATTAATTATGTTAGGAATCAACATATTGTAATCTCAATCTTATCTTCTTTACTAAGAAAAATAAAGACAAAAATTTGGGTAACACTTATCTATACTAATAAGTACCTATATAAAGTTAGACTTTGTTTGTTTTTGTATTCGTTTGAACGCGTTTATATCTGGAATGGCTATTCCGATCTGAATTTTTCATTTGCATTTTAGAGTATAATTTTATCAAAAGCCTATCAATCTAACACAACGTTGTCCCATAAAAAAACAGGCGGAGCCACTAGTAAATATAAGTGAATATCTATGTACATATAATAACACAGTAACTTACTGAAATATGTACTGTACATGATTTAAAAAAAAAAACAATGACTGTAATGTATGGTGTATAGAATATACATCCCAAAACAATAGTCTTTATTAATTTAACTAGTTATTAACATTTTTGTCCGTTTGAATGTGTTATTTATATGAAAGAAAAAAGCCTCCATATAACTAATAGAGAGTGCAGTGATCGTTTCCGCAGAACTGCTTTTAATTTGATATACCTAACCGTATACTTACTTATATGTACATATGAAAAGTAAATAATATTTTAGTCAGCAATAAGCTTATTATGTGCAAAGCTAAAGTTGTAATAAAGAGCTAGTGATGTGCGAGCATAAATCTCTATAAGTTATCATTTAATTTTGTCTCATTTATAGTTATATAGTATCAGGGCACTATTTAAGTTCCATTTACACTAATGAAACATTATAAGTTAAGTAATCTAGGTTTGATAATCTTCGGGCACAAGTTTAGTATATGAATCGCGGTCCCTGGAAAAATGGGTGGTATTTTTAGATAGGGGAGGCAATAGGGAGTACAAATATATAAAATTTATTTTGAGGAAACGAAGGAATCTAAAATTATGGAGACTTAAATCTAGAATATTTCTATAGCTAGATTATTAAATTTCATAGAACGACTTTCAATATATTTTCCTATTCTAACGTAAACAATTTGTACTCCATACGTTATTGCAATCGTAATGGTTGTAATTATATACACCCGTGGTAATGGTTTGATATGATACTAATATTATAAACGCGAAAGTTGGTGAGGATAGATGGATGAAAGGATGGATGTTTGTTTGTTACTCTTTCACACAAAAACTTCTGAATGGACTTGGATGAAGCTTTATATAATATAGCTTATACATCAGAATAATACATATGCTATTAAATATATAGTAGGTAATACAAGGAAAGCTACTTCTGGATACATTTTTTTTTCAATTTAAAATTAACACTACTTGATGGCTAGTAGAGTTTCAATGACAATATTGTATGAGTACGATCTATATCCATTTGAATTAAAAAGCTATACGTAAGTTTTATACAGTTCTTTGAAAACATTCAAATTTTAAAGATACAGCTCAAGCTCCCCTTTCTAAGTGCCGTTTAAAAAATACTAAAATATATAAAAACAAACCCGGGCAGAGTCGTATTCAATAGCAAATTCATAAAAAAAAGAAATGCAACTACATAATATTTGTTAGTAATATTAGATTCGCTTTAACCGCTAATATCCTATGATTAAAAAAACTTAAAAGAATATTTTTTTTACTTGAAATTATTTTCTTTTAAAAATATATCTAATAACTTTTGACCATAAACATCCAAAGACTTAAGACATATTTTAAGTACATAATTTATTAACATTACTTTTGGAGCACCAGCTGTTTGTTATCAATTCAGAGAGTCATTGTATTAAAGTCATTAATTTATTTATAAGCATATGAGCTCTACTTTTCAAATACTATTAAATACAGAAAAGCTTAAACTGTAACAAAAATAAATAATATAGATATATTATAAATGGATTAAGCTTCATAATATGAGCTTAAAAAACTGTATTTATAGTCAAAATAAGTGTCTTTTGAGGTAAATAAGTCATAAATATCAGTTGATAAAAAATTAGAGCTTACCTGTTCCTTGGCCAATTGGAACCACGTCTTCAATATAACCGGCAATCTCGTATGTTGATAATGCTTAGTTGTCTTAACACTGATGAAAATATCATCCAAAGTGATATTTTTACTCTGACCACTATCCAAAATACTGGTTTTATTCACAGGTTCTATAGATAAATCGGCCACTTGCACTGACCGACTTTCTTGGAAGTTAAAATTAACTCCGCCTTGATAAACAAGTAAGCTGCTATATCCTAAAGTTATGAGGATAGCCGCAGCTTTAATTATTCTGCGCCTACCCATGCCAGAGCCGGCTGGCGCCACAGCGCCAATACACTTGGCTAAGTCTTGTCACTCATCTGTTGCACTTTGTTATCGAAACACCAAACAGTTCAGAACGCAAAAACACTTGTATCGCCAGAGAACGGTTACAAACTGAATAAAAATGTAGCACAGGCGGCAAATACGCCCGCGCTAGCACAGCCCCTCCACGTGCTGTGAGTAAGACGTCCGATGGCTCTCTGTCCCTCGCGCCGAGCTTACCTGCGCGTGCGTCGGTCTAACCGCCAGCAGCGACACGCGTGTCAATGGCACACGTAATTGTTGCCTTCATCGATGCATCTACATACATTGTGCAGATGTTTTTTAAATGGAAGAGAGATAATCTGCTTTGTCTTATCTTTGGTAGGGTTAATATTCTTCATTTGTGAATTTTTGATACTTTAGCTTATAACTTATTATCAGGCTATCAGGCCCGAAGTTTTCTTATATTTCAAAATGTCCTGTAAAATATTTTATATTAAAAAAAAGATTAAAATAAAACGGTTCTAGCCGGTTATGTAAGTTACAACTATGTATAATATTTTATATGGTCAATTGAAGTCCCACTCGTAACGTTCTTATATGAGTGCAATATACATAATATGTCAGACCTTAACGAGTATAATTTTATATTTAACTAGTTTTGACCGCAGCTTTGCTTGCGCAGGTAGGTAAATAGATGAAAAGAAGATATAAAGAAATCATTCCAAATTCTCAAATCTGTGAATAATTCTTCATCCACATCAATGATCAGAGTATGATTTATTTAGTGTATTACTTTAAATAGAATTAATTTTTTAAATAATCTGAAATTGTGTATATAAATAATATCGTAAAGTATAAAATTATTATTTAGAGTCAAGTTTTTAGGTACCTATTCTCGTAATGTATACTAAATTGAAGTAGGCTCCCAGATCGATTAGCTGGCTAGTAGACTCAGATTTACGGAGTTTGCGTTCTAATAAATAATACTCTTGACTGATATAGAGATTAAATAAAAAACCAATGGATATTAACCCATTCCATAAAACGACAAATAACGGTTCTAATTTATCATGAAAAGTATAGGTATATATTTTAAAGAAAGTTTTGGCCTCACAATTTATCTTTGTCGCAGTAACTTTTTACTGTCTAAGATGTCTGTATAAGAAAACGTGCTCTTTAAGACATTGAACTTCAAGAATATGCTAAAATTTGTGCACTCAAAATATGAAACGAATATATACGAAATAGCGAAAAAAAAATTGTTCTAAGTTAACATTATGTCTTATTGTTTTTTCGTAACTGTGTTAATTCTAAGGTCTTGAACAGAAGTTTATGAATCTTTTTTATTCTTCTAGTTTAGAATTTTTTTGACTAGACTTCGAAGGTGAAACCGCAATTTAAATTAAGGAAGTTCAGTTAAAGTTCTACTTTTAGCAAAAGAAATAGTTCATAGGATGAGAATCATAATTGTAACTTTACTTTAAATCAAAGTTTGTAAATAATGAATTTGAAAATACCTATGAATAATATCCTAAGTGAAAAAACCTGTGTAAACACACTTTTATCCATTAAACTTCCAGTATCTTGTAATATAAAATTAACTATTTTTGAAAGTGCATTATATAAATGTTGCAATAAATAATGCAGTCCGTCCGCCCACGTTCTTTTTATAGGTCCAGATTTCATTAAGCTGATCTGATGCGGGTCGCTCGCAGCTTTATCACGGCTAATTAGAAATCAAACCAGTATCGGTATGTTTTTATAACGTTTTTAATTGAAATTCATAACGCAGCAATGTTAACTGATCGCATTCCCCTTTTGAAACTAAACTAATCATTTATAAGGCAAGTTTTTAAGAAATATTGCTTAATATATATATATTTACCTACCTACATATACATATGTTCTTATTACCCAACCCGCGCGTTTATCGCCTATGATGTGGTAGGGTAAAAGAGCAGTAGTTATAATAAATCCATATCAATTACATAGTCGCAAAAGAAGTTATTTCTTGATAATTAAAAATATTTTCGTTATATGAACCAATAATATTTGACTATGAAATAAAAGTTTTTTACTGCTAAGATCAAACAGAAGTTAGAAAGCCGAGTTAATTGCGGAAGCTTGTAATGAGGATCGCACACGCTTAACGTGGGAACAATAACCATTTAGAGGAATCCATAAATGTATTACACGATATGTTAACTCTCTCATAACCGTATTTGAATGTATCATTTATAATAATTGTAAGGGCTCTTAAGCGACATGGGCTTAAATAAAAAGGGAAAGCACAAAAACATCTATTCTATGCATGTATGTATTCAGCCCTTTTTAAGGTCCACGGGCCTCCCTAAAATACGAAGGGCTTAGTCCATCACGCTACGTATGAGTTGGCGGACTTCACATGTCTTTCGAAAAATTGAAATGTCTCTTAGACATGTAGTTTTCCTTGTATTCCTTCACCGTAAGTCAAATGGTAATCATGTTGGAAATGATTTGCACATAAAAATACCAGAAGTGCGAAACTCGGGATTTGAACTCGCTTCCCTCGGTTTTCCCAAGCGAGCCCGTTACCACTGAGCTACCACTGCCCTAAAATGTAATGCCTAATTATTATTAAATTGCGTTGATTCTAGTATATAATGAATATATCTTATGTAACGTACGAGCTGACCATAATCGATAAGTAGCGATCCTCACGTCTCTTCGGCACTTATAACCTCAAGCTAAACTTAACTAAAACTTGTATTATTAACCCGTCTCGCCGCGCCGGTACAAAGTAGCCCATGCAACTTCGACTGCATCCTCTAACTGTCCAGTAAAAGTGCTATTGAAATGAATGATATTTTACATTTGTTCAATTATTGTGTCTGTAAACCAATGGCAAATTAAAAAATATCAGATTGAAAAAAAAAATCAATTATGATCAGGCTTAGTTAATTTTTGAACCCCGACGCTTTTTAAAAACGACGGGGTGTTATGAGTTTAACGTGCCTGTGTGTGTCTGTCTGTGTGTGTATCGTAGCTCCCGAACGGATGAACTGATTTTGATTTTTTTTATTTTCAACAGGTAAGCTGTGAATTAAAGTTTAATTTAGAATCTATGTACAGAAATGTAGTGCAAAAAGAAAAATATTTATGTAGGTACTACATTTTTAAAATTAATAATTAAGTACTTAATAAATACTAACAAAGGCATAAGCGAATAGACAAAAAAATAATTATATATTGGGATAATAAATTGGCATAATAAATTGGGATACTGTGCAAAAATACATTCACAGCGAATGCAGTTCAGAATATCTCAAAAATTAATGGATGGTTTCCTAGGAACGTTTTCCTGTAACTATAGAAGATAAGGCAGGTAAAACCTGCCCTTACTGTCCCGTCTCAAAAATCCACCCTGTGTAACAATCCTATCCTACTATAACTATCCTACTAATAAAAATATTATGGTATAAAAAAGTATAAATTAGGTGTTTTAAATATAAATAAAATATAAAACAAAAAATACTACTTACGTTAGTGGATATTATGTAACGCGATAGTTTTTACTTATAAAACTTAAAAAATGTAAATAATTATTTTTACAAATATTTGTTCCTCTTTTAAATAAGCAATTTAAAAAATGTGCTAACTTTTTCTAACATCGAGTATTATTATGGGTATTTAAGAACTTTTAAAAAATCTAACCACAAAACAAAACATGTAAAACTAGAACTTTAGAAATGACGATAGCTCAAATTCTCGCCATTTTCGAAACTCACACGAAACTGTCACTCAAAGTTATGTCATAGACTATCAAAGAAAATAGCATAAATATGTTATTTGGAAAGGTATATTATAAAAAAGAGAGAAATTCTTATTAAAAAAAAATATTTTTTATTTTATCATAAACATTATTTGTCAAACACAAAATCAGACTCAAATACACATAATTTGACTTCTACTAATCTCCTATTAACTATATTTTTTCTACTTGACATTGGCGAAGTAAATTGTGCCCAAATGACACGCATTGAACATATTTTTCAATCGGTATATCAAACTGTCTTGTATAATATCGTAAGAAAAAAACTCTGCCCGCGATTGGCTCGCGCGGTGGACTATGGTCTGATTTCCCTCATATTTAGGGGGTAATGCTCCCAGCAATAGGGCCATTAAAAGACAACAGAAAAAAAACAACAAAACAAAACAACAAACCAAGACAACAAATTCATGAAACTTATGAGTTTAACTGTTTGTATGTATGTAGGTTGCCCTTTAAATACTCCAGGATTAATGATCCGATTTCGAAAATTCTAATAGATAGGTATATTATTCCTGAGTGCTGTAGGCTATATTATTTTTGCTTATTTGTTTTATAAAAAACACTTTCAAGAAAAATCTCTTCCCTAACCGGAACATAAAATTAATGCATTTATTTCCAAGTTTTAAAAAAATACTTTTAAAACATTTTTGTCCGTAACTTCGTAAAGCTTAAAACAGAACTTGTTTAAAACAAACTAACTCCATTTATCTTTAGGATACAGAAAACAAGGATAAATTACAAAAGTATTGAGTTGTATAAAAATATCAGCTTGTTTATCCGACTAAGCAATCTCACGATTAAGTCATGTCAAAACTTGCCGTAGTGATCCAGTGATGCGAAAAAGTAACTCATTCGAGCGATCTTATTAGATCACAACATACATTGATATTGGGATGGTTAAATCATATGTAACAGATGAATGCTACTTAATATTAAAAAAAATGTAATGTGGCTTGTTCAACTTTTAAAATTGTTATCTATATTTGGAATATTGTAGAAGAATGACATTAAAAGTATGTAGTTTTTTTTTAAACTTATAACGTGATGTAGTTTAGTATTACCAAGCTTATATATTATAATGTCTTATATAAGGCGTGGTTCATATTATTATTTGTGAATTAAATTAATGTTAATGGGCGTATGAAGACATCCTGGTGGTCGCATAATACATAAATGATGTTCTCCT